TTACTGTATGTACGTATGGCTAATTCGGCAATTGGCGACTTGCATCGGCTGACACGTGAGAACGCTCAGTAATGTCTCTCGTGAAATGTAAATGACGGAGACCTGTCGAATAGTAAGATGTACGCACATGAAGAACAGCAATGTTTTGGATGTGCTGTAGCAATTTCACTTCATGCATGTATATTAATGATAAATTTGTTACTGTAAAAGCACTCTCACACTTGCTTTTTATATAGTTATTTTAATATAAATAACGCAACATAAATTTACATGTTGTCCGTTTTATCTCAACTAACTTCCGATTGCCCTACACGTGTCTTTTTAATCGTCTCACCACGTGACAGCTCACGTGACAGCTCACGTGATTATAACAGAACCAATAATGTTATTAAAAGTAAATAAATGTGTAATGTAAAACGTCATGCACTAGATTAATGTTTTCTACATCCTCCCCAACCGGAAAGATTCGCTAACAGTTTAAATGTTTCGCTATGTATACTGTTCGCGAATTCTCCGCAAGTTTTCTCCATCGATCGCTGCCTTCCTCGTTGGTCTTCTACTTCCTTTTCGCTCATCCGCTCTTGACTCGGTCTCAGTCGTGTTATGCTGTTCTGCGTTCCTATCGTTGTCATCCCCTTCATGCTTGTCGACGTCATCCTGGACGATCTCGAAAGGTATTAGCTTTTGTAACGGTCTGTGAACCGACGACTGAGATCCACTCTTTGATAGAACCTTCAATTTAGCTCCCCTGACCAGTCCATCACGTCCTTTCACCAGCTGCAAGACTCTTCCAATCCTCCACTGTGCCCGAGGTGCTGGTTCATCCTCTTTAATCAAAACAACATCACCAACGGTCAGACCTCGCGTATTGGTTTTCCTTTTCCGGTAGAGGTTCATTTGTCTCAGCTCGTTCAAATATTCCCTTCGAAACCGCGTCCAACAATCTCTCAATATTTTCCGTAAGTGTTTCAACCGCTGTTTGTACTGTCCAAGGCTCGCCGTAAGTATGGTATCCGTGTTTTTCATCCGATTGCAGTAGCCTCGACCGTACATCAGGTGGAATGGCGTCAAAGGTTCGTCCAAATCATCCTCGCTGACATACGTAAGTGGCCGATTGTTGATTGCCACTTCTACTTCGCACAAGATTGTCTGCAGCTCTTCGAATGTCGTATATGCTCTCCCGAGAGTCTTCTTTAAACAACCCTTAACTGTCCGGACGAGTCGCTCGTAAAAGCCACCCCACCATGGGGACGCTGGTAGAATAAACTGTTGCCGAATGCCTTGATATGACATGAATCGTTTGACCTCCGCTGACTTGAAAGTCTTAAAGTTGTCGTTGATAATGACATCCGGCACACCCCTACGAGCTACAAATCTCCGAAATCCTCGCAAAAATCCGTCACTTGACATCGAGTAGACCAGTTCGAGGTGGATCGCTCTGCTTGTGGCACACGTTAGCAGTAGAATGTACGTCTTGACCGTTTCTGCACCATCTTTCACAAACAACGGTCCAGCAAAATCCAAGCCCGTCGCTTGAAACGCGAATCCCGAATGATCGATTCTACACTGTGGCAGATCAGGACTAGCAGGAGCACACATCGGCTTTCCTTGGTACCGTTTGCAAATCACACATTTTCTGAGGACTTCCTTGACACTTTTTCTCCCTTTCACAATCCAGTAGTTTGACCGTACTCTTGCCAATGTCGACTCCACTCCGTGGTGCATACTCGCCTTATGCGCGTCCCAAATGACTAATTGTGTGAAATAGCTTTCGTTTCCTCGTAATATCATTGGATGCTGGTCTTGGTACCGCAGATTAGAATTAGCGAACCGTCCCTTTAACCGTAAAAATCCGTCTTTGTCTTCGAACAAATTCAATGAAGCACAAACGTTAGCAAAATTTGATTGTCCCTTTATCAGAGATTGTTCTTCTTTAATCCACATGTGTAACGCTTGCTCGTATTCGTCAGCCGTTAGAACGTTCTCCGTGATTAAGTTTCCATGGTTCTTCGTTCGTTTTCGCAAATTGTTCAAGAATCTTATCACGTAACCAGTGGTGACAACCAACTTGTTCAACGAGCTATACCGAGTGCAGTCTATGACATCAGACAATGAACACGTTTCGCCTGATATGTCATTCCGTGTCGCGTTGTTGAAAAGAACATCAGAAGAATGACTAACCTCTTCCACAACCTTCCCGCCCAAAGACGTTTGATCACAAAGGGTATCACTTCTCTCGCCTCTGTATGCAGAAGGTTGAGACAACAACACCGAAGGACCAGTAAACCAACATCCTGAGAAACACTCAACTAGACTAGTTGATATCCTAGTGGGGATATCTGCAGGATTCAGTTCTCCTTTAACAAAATTCCACCGCTCACGATCGACAACCTTTCTAATGGTGACAACTCTATTCTCCACCCAAGGTTCCCAGCTTCGCTCCTTTCCCCTTATCCAACTCAACGCCACCTCTGAATCCGACCAACAGAATATTTCATCCAACTCTACACGCCCTCGTATACCAAGTACAACCTCATTGATCAACTTGCTCAATAACAAACACCCCAATAGTTCCAACCTGGGAATAGTAAGGGTTTTTAAAGGCGCCACCTTGGTTTTCGCCGCCAAAAAAGACACTTTTGCACTTTTACTGCAAACAAACCGCAGATAAATGACCGCACTATAGACTTCTTTTGAACTATCACAAAACCCGTGAAGTTCAACTCGGATTCCGGAATGAAAATTTAAATGAAAAACAAACCGAGGTTGTCTTACTTCCCGCAGAGATTTTAATTCATCTAAAAACTTGTTCCAAATTGACGCAAGTGCCGGTGGGATAAGGTCATCCCAATTTAATTTGTCTTTACATAACAACTGAAATATTGTTTTGATTCTGGCGGTGACGGGAGCAATCACACCCAATGGATCGAAAATTGAGGCCGATGCACTCAGTAAATTCCGCTTGGTTTGCTTCAGGCTCGCACATTTGCTCAAGAAATTATCGAACTGAAAAACAAACTCATCCGTGATGGTATCCCACGCAACACCTAAGACAGCCTGATTTGGCGTAACTAAATTAGGCGACATTACCTCGACATAAGTAAGATCTTCCCCTAGGGGTTGGGAATTAGGTTTGTCACCCATTGTCGATGAAATATATGCTCGAAGTTCTGGATCGTTAGTTACCCACTTACGTAATTCAAACCCTCCCTCTAGCATAATGGCTTTACTAGTCTCATATATTTCCTTAGCTGTACCAACGCTATCGCCTCCACTAACCAAATCATCTACGTACAAATCCTCGCGAATACGCTCTACGACTGCATTCTCCTTCTCTACATACTTGCTAAGGTGGTGCCTCAACGTCGCGTTTAACAAGAAAGGACTACTCGTTAGTCCAAAAACTACCCGTAAAAATCTGTAAGTGATTATTTTTTCCTCTTTAGAATTGAGGTCATACCACAAAAACCGTACAAAATCTCTATGCTCCCTAGATATAGCGATGTTAAGGAACGCCTGTTTTATATCTGCTAGGATGCCTATCTTATTAAGCCTAAATCTCACTAGGATGTCAAATATCTTGGCAATAAGATTTGGTCCTGAATACAAACATTGGTTAAGTGAGGGGCCGTTAACCTGACACGAAGCGTCGAAAACTGCCCGAATTTTCGTAGTCTGCTTGTCCTCACGCACGACCGGTCGATGCGGGAGATAATGGACCCCACCTACTTCCCCAGCAATCTCATGTGAAGGAACGCGTTCAATTATTCCGTTTTTCTCGTACTCTGTAAAGATCGTATCATACTCCCTGAGAATTCCTTTGGATGTTAAACGCCGTTTTAGAGATGTTAAACGCCCTTCACATACACTAAAGTTGTCTGGCAGCTGCTCATGGTCTGGCTTAAAGGGTAATTTCGTTACATATCGGGTCCCGTCGTGCCCTATGTCATTTTCAAACTGACTGACCACACAGTCACTGGAGGAGCCTATAGTCTCCACGGACCAAAATTTATCTAAAACTTGTCGTAAAGCGTCTGATGTTTCTTTACATTCAACTGAGGCACGTAGGATATGGGTCTCGAAACAATGCAGGTCAGGAGGACCTGTCCCAATTTTGCCACTTACTACCCATCCCACCTTAGTTCCGCATGCTACTGGACCCGCCTTACTTCGCACAACCTTTCCTGTCATGAACGTGTGGTAATAATCTACCCCGATTAAAATTCCTACTGGGAGGTTTGGAGAATCGCCTTCATGGTCAGCCAATTCCAAGTCCTCAAATTCTTCCAAATCATGCGTTTTTGAGATATATTGGTTAGTAAGAGGGCTGCAAATTGTGGGAACACATAAAGCCTCAACACTGGTGCACCTAGAATCAGATTTATTCTTGACTTTGACCTGAACGACATCTAGTCTCTTAACCTTGCTATCATTGTCCTGACCAAAGGTCTTAATTATGACCTTTTCTGACCTGATCGACTTTAACTGCAACCTAGCTCTAACCTTATCAGAAATGTAAGACCGCTGGCTTCCACTATCAAACAAAATCCTGGTAGCTACTTGAGTACCAATATTCTCCTCATCATAGACCTGTACTCTAGCTGTTTGTAATAATATTCCCTGCTGGTCACAGCCAGTATGACCTACAAATTCCCTACTCTCCTCATCCTCTTTGCTCCCATTCTCCTTACTTGCATTTCGTCTGCCCGAAGCTGCCTCACAAATGGAAATGTGGTGTTTACCCTTGTTGCACCGTTTACAAACATAAGTTGCCGTACAATTTTTTGCTATATGTCTCGAATCTAAACAAATAAAACATCTCCCTTTTTTCCGTAATATGTCTTTCCGAGAATGGTGATTCGAGACCTTACTACACCTAGATGGAAGATGTCCCCCCTCATTACAATATATACAGGGGGTTTTACTAGTTTGACTGAATAACCCACTTGCTGTATAGGGCTCCCTTTTCCTGAAATTGTCAGATCTACCATCTGATTTATTACTCAATGAGAAATTACAATCTTCTTGAGCACGAAGCTCATTGTTAAAAAATTCCATAACCTTATCTAAGTTCCATACTTTACCACAAAACTGTCTCGAAATAATCATATTAATCTCATCGGGCAAGCGGTCCTTTAAAATTGGAATGAGAAGAGAGCCATACCCACTGGTGTCAAGCTTAAGAGATTTCAAGTTCCTCATACAGTTTTCAACATGACTGTACAACATCCTTAACCCCTTAATGTTATCAACTGACTTAATTTTATTAATTTTAAGTAGAGACTCCATATGTGCAGAAATGAGCACCTGCTCATTCCCAAATCTATCCTTTAAAACCTGAACTGCCTCCTGATAATTATCTGAAGTTAAAGTCAACCCTGAAATAGCCGCAAGGGCTTCCCCTTTCACACAACCTTTTAAATAATTGAATTTATCAATATCACTTATGTTTATATTACTGTGGATCGACACTTGATACTGATCCCAGAACCCCTGCCAATCTAAGGGTTCCCCCGTAAACTCTGGTAATGCTAATTGTGGCAGCTTACAATGCGCAGGACTTCTATTTGTGCTTAAACCGGCTGCACCTAAGGAATAACTTGTGCTATTAATATTACTTTGCCCTTGCTTAATTTCTTCAAGTTTCAAATCCGCCTTTGCCAAAACTTGGTGACTAGGTTCTAAGGCTTTCATGTGACGAATAATTTCCGGCTCAATGTCCTTTGGATCTATCAAGGATAATATTTCATTGTGCACAGTCGCCAATTGTTCGATGATACTAGCCACATTGTTTCTCAACCCAAGGAGTTTAGATTGCTCGCAATCACCGCTTTCCGAAGAAACATACTCGTTTAATTCACTTAAAAGAGTTTTCAAATACGCGCCGAGACCAAGGTGTCTGCCTTTAGCCCTTGCTAATTTTTCCTCCATGACAAATATGAAATATGAGATATGAGATACCGACTACACAATACACACTGTGGACGCGTTTTTACAATACAACGCTACGTATGACAATTAGACACAAAAAATATATAGAATTTCTAACATTTACTATATCATAAAACATATACACTTCAGAACAATGCACAACCCCAAAGGGATCTCTCAAAAGGAAAGAATTTACCTCTAACCACGATATCGACCAACCGACACGCTCGCGAATGACTCACAGACTCGTGTTCACTGTAACACTGTCGTCGACTTAAACGCACAATTATTGATACCTCGTATTCCGTATGATGTTCTGCCGTGTCCCCTATCGGGCTCCATGTAAAAAGCACTCTCTCACACTTGCTTTTTATATAGTTATTTTAATATAAATAACGCA